AGACCCTGAAATTCAGTGAAAGGGTGGAATCAGAGTAAAAAGTTATGTACGCCCAGGAGAAGGGCTGCCATTCAGGTGGCGTTTGTCTTAGGGAATGGCTGCTGCTGTACCTTTATTTCTTCTCTTATTGTGGGATGTTAGAACAGAGAAAAATCTTCGCTATCAGAACAAGCAATCTACTTATTATTGACCAATGGGTCACAGAAACCTCAGAAAGGAGAGTTTTCATCAGGGTAATGACATCACATTTCTTTGCCTGATAATGATATGGGATTGGGACGCCCCCTCCCATAATTACCCAGAGCCACCACCAGTCGCCATGTTCAGGTTGGAGGTTACAGATAAATGGCTGAAAGAGGAGTGATGTGAAGCAGCCTTTGAGAGGAGGGGACCATAATTTGGCTCCCCCCAAAAACATGTAACAGCCCCCATTCACCCGTACACCCACAGACCAGCACATCTATCACACCTCTTAATTACATCTCTCCGTACGCCGTCAGAATGCTAAGCAGAAGAAGAAGGAAGCCTCGGAAATCTGTGGACCTCTCCCTGCTCGTTAAGATTCAGCCCTTTGATCCGCGCCGCAGCGCTCCTCCTCTGGTGTGAAAGGATCAGACCGCGAACATGAAAGCCACAAGCTTGACTTTAGCTTCGGCTTCAAATGGGGCCACTGAGAATATTTCAATTAAGGGAGCCTGGAAAAAAAACAGTCGACAAAATCTCAGTGGTCGAAGCGATTAATTGGAACAGCTTGTTTGTTTAGGTAGGCTTAATGGAATCTATTCAGGAGGTTCATTTGAAGAGAAATACATTTTTGTGTGTTTGTGTGTGTCTGTGTGTTGGGGGGGGGGTAAATCTAATAAGGTTTTCTTTTTAAAACTGTCCTTGAATTACCTGCTTTAGGATCAACGCTGCACAGAAATAAATTCCTCCTTTAGTGACAGTTTGCCTCTCTGAGAGTTTCACCCAGTCCTCTTAAAAACAATCAGCCTGAAGGCTTTGAACTTTGAACTTTGACTAGGCCGTTCAAACATGAATGGGCTTTGGTGTGTGGCACAATGATTGTGCTATTGGTTTGAGTGTGAAGAGAGACACGTATTCAGCCTTTAAACTAGGGCTGCAACTAACGATTATTTAGCAAATTGATTAATCTGTTGAATGATCGGATTGCAAAAGGTTCCTAAAAGAAGAGCTTTTCTGAAATTAAACCATCCATCCATCATGGAACAGCTAAAGGCCTGTTTTACAGTCTCTACACTCCAGTTAACAATTAATTGATTACTAAATGAGTTGATGATTATTTCAGTAATCTATTAATCATGATTAATGAGATTAATTGTTTCAGCCCTCGTGTAAAATAACACACTCAACCCACTGTCCTCTCACCCGGCTCTGTCTCTGTGTTTGTGATGTCATAAATATGTATGTAAATGAACCACACCTTCAGCCAATCACGCGCTGATTTGTTTCAACCAATCAAAGCATTCGTTCCAAATGCGACATCCGGTTCAGGCTTAATGAAAAACACAATCAGGACATCGAACAGATCTTGCAGTTATGTGATCAACACTCCTATATTAAAGGTAATGTGGAGGATTTTCAAATGCACGTGCGAGAGCGTGCACGAACCCATTTCTCCTCGTGCACGTTGTGTTTAAAAGTTGCTGTTCTCATAGCTCATACCAGCTTATTGTGTCCCACTGCCCGCCCTCACCCCTAAATCCCTCCATCACTATGTAGAGCGGGGACTATATAGTGGAGCTTATAGTGAACTCACTTAACGTACTGCTCGGACAGATGATAACTTCCCCGTTGGTCCTCTGCACAGTGACTGCATCTTCTTTGTTATGGTCCGTTGCTGTCGCTACCCGACAGCGGGCCGCTGTGACAGCAATTCCCATAATGCTTTGCGAGGAGAGCTCTCTCCGGACACACCTGAAAGTGCGGATGCGCAGAAAAAGATTGCTAACGGGGCTAGCATGTAGGACGGCCCTACGTAAACATACCACTAGAGTGATTGACAGCTAGGAGGACCACTGATTGAGATGATCCACCCGGAAATAAAAGATCATCCTCTATACCTGTAAGTTTAGCCTTGGCTGTGACTCCATCCTGGAGAGAAATATCAGCTGTGCTGCTGCCATCAA